CACACTGTGAGGATTTTATTGCTGGGCACATTGCCTCGGATCAGAGCCGGCGGCAAAGTTAAATTCATGCACGGCACTCTGCTCAGATCCTAAGACCATACAGAACTCAGGCAACCTAGATAAGGTGCCTGTCAGGGCAAAAGCTGCAGGAATACAGGGCTGACTGGCAGATATGTGAAACAGTGATCAGAGAAGAGAAAGAAAAAGGAAAGACATGTTCAAAAATATTTGGACTGCTTTAGACACCTTTCCCCGTTTCAGTTGGATTACAATTTAGTCCAAACCTTGCTTGAATACTCAGAAGGTAAAACCAGCTTGCAGGCAGTCGAGTGAGCAGGCACAGACTTTCTCTGCAAACATTCGGTTTTAAATGACCTCGTGGGATGTGATTCATTTCCCGATCCCTTTTCATCTGCCGTGCCCTCTATTGAGGTTCAGAAAAGGGATCTGCAGGAAGAAGAGTGGCACGCTGGTGTATACCTCTGCAGTTGCCAAAATTATTATTTGGTTAATTCAGCTCTGTCCAGTCTTCCTGAAGTTGGGCAAACCTGTTTTCTTCTCTATGATGTATCACTTAGAAACACCAACTGCAAGGATTTCTTATGTTCACAAAAAAGGGAAGGAAACAGCTGGTAAATGTTTCACAGATGGCAAAGCTCTTGGCATCTCTCTCAAGAGAGGGCCACCCATGCAGATGGCTCATTATTTTAACATTTGGATTTTCATCTTATTAAAACATCTTTTTTTTTTTCTCCTGGTTTTATTTAGCACCATAAATTCTCTTACACTTTAGCTAGCGACTAAGCGATCTGAGGACGTGCGCTCTAAGGAACATCCTTTGGCTAAAACATAGATTGGTAACATCATTATTCCCAGCTTTGATCTCAACGTGATGGGTTTCAACCTGATTAAAAATTCCAATGAATGGAAACGCTCTGAATAGTGAATTTATCAAGCAAAAGTCCGTGAAGTCCATATAGTAGCTGAATTATTCAGCAGAACGATAAACCGAGTGAAATTGGGGGAAATAGTTTTATTCAATGCATAAAATCTCTATTACTATGCAATATGCATATATAAAAATAGACAAATGCACAGTGGGTGTAGATTTATAAACACACCCTTTCTACATATGTAGAGGGGTTTCTGCACCATGAAGTGCAACAGCCAAAATTTAAATCAAGCAATGCCAACTCTTGGCAAGGTAGATAGGAAAGGGCCAAGATTTCGAAGGATAGTTCTCTGCCCACTCAGATGTCAACAGGACTGAACTTGCATCTTCTATCTGAATAGCTGTTTCTAGGTGCAGAAACAGGAAGGCTGTTGTGTGGCTGGATGGAAAGAAACAATCAACTCTTGCTGCTCTGACGTTGTTGTAAAAGCAGCCCTCGCCACTGTCCTTTCCAAATATTGCTCCCAAGGATTGGGAGAAGTTGTGGATACCTCAGCATTCCGAACTATTTTGTGCTGGGGTATGGGAAATGTTGGAGATGCAAATGCAAGTGACAAAGCAATGTAATAAGAACAAACCAATCTCTTTAATGTGGTGTGAGATGCTGGCCTAAATACAGATCAGTCGCTATGTTCTCACAAATGGGCCTCATGGAGCGGGGCCTGCACACACCACGTTGTAAATGTTTATTAGCAATGGTACACAATGCACGTTATGGGTCCGTGGAGCTCAGAGCTGGCTCACTTTGGGGGTCAAATGTAAATCCCTGAAATGCTGAGAAAATGTTAATAGTTGCCATCACCAAGAACATATCGGTTGAGAATGTACATAGGTATCATAAATGGAGGCTTTGTTCATCGACTTGAATCACCTCTGGTACATCTAGCCTAAAGCACTAGCTTGTGTAATGCATTCTGCGAGCTGTTGGCTTTTCTATCAGACAGAAAGCAAGACAGGAGTTTCAGAAAGCACAGTTTCACAAACAAGAGGTGGAAAGGGCAATGCTGATTAGACATGTCTAGGAAGCTACGAGTGGTAGAGATATGAAACAAAAAAAAATTAAACCAACCTCTCACTAAGCAAATTGCTTCTGGGGGGTCTCATGTTGCTTTACGGTTTTTGGCATCTGTAGCATAAACTGTAAGCACAAAAGCACAGGTCCTGATAATCCTCAGATAGTGGACTTTTATGGGTGGAGGATCTTCAAGCTTACCCTCTTTGATCACTCTAAGTTAGTGATTCTTAAAGACCCCAGTCGAGTGGCATCAGCATCACCTGGGCCCCACCCCAGACCTACTGAATCAGAAATTCTGTGGAAGGGGCCCAGCAATCTGTGTTTTAACAAGCCCTCCAGGTGATTCTGGTGCATGCTCAAGTTTGAGAGTCACTGCTCTAAGGCATAACAGTTTGTCGCTCCACCAGTGCCCAAGAATCTTTTTGGTGACAGACATCAAATATGATTCCTGCAAAATCCTGGCAGCAGAATACATTTGTCTATTTAACTGCATGCAAAACGCTTGTCAAGAAGGATTCCGGGGGCTCTTTTTGCAAACGCTTCCTCTCTCCTGCATGTGCTCAATCTCTTTGGAGACTGCATATGTCTTCGATCCAAGCTCCAAAGTTGTAAGCCATCTTAAAAGCACCCCTCACCCCCATCCTTTTCACCTCATATTGACAAATAAGACAGAGGAACACTGCACCTAGTTTTCTGTGTCTAGCTGGAAAAGACTGACAGATTTCATTACATTTGTCACAGGGTCTAAAACTCCACGTGGGAGAAAATAAGCCCATTTAGTAAAAACATCTCACTTTACCTTTGAGTTAGAATGGAGAAGCATAAAAAGTATTGTTCCTAAGAAAATTACAAGGCATTTGGTTGTGTTTTCAAAAGTGTGATGACTATTCACCAGACTGGGTTAGGTGGCTGCAAAGCCCCCACAAAACTATATAGGTACTAGAAATACATATGCCTCCAGCGAAATGGCATAAGAATCAAAGGAGAAATGAATTTCCTGTGGTGCAGATGAGCTACTTAAAATCATTCCCATCTGAGCACACCTCCTTTTCCTCATGTGCATTGAAAACCACTTGAATAATGCACGTTATTCAGTTGCATTGTGAGCTCTGAAAACCATTTAATGAAGGTAGACAGGCTTCCAAGAAGGTGCATTCTTTGACTAATGTAGATACTCCTGGAAAAATCTTTCCCCAACATGGAAGGCAAGATTTACTGAGTGAGTGGAAGAAGGAATGCTATTATAAAGTCTTGTTTCACTCAATGAAATCAAATGGAAGCAAACTTGGGTTAAATTTGATCTATTCTAGGTGAATCTTACTCTGTGCAATGCATATACTGAAAGGCTGTAAATCAATCACATTTTAGCAAATCAAACCAGCTTTCTATTGACCTTTACTGTATTATCAAGTTTGCTTTGTCTCTTTATGATTGATCATCAATTAACAGTGGTTACCAATGCCAATCTTTCTGTTAAATAGTTAACGATCTACATACATTAATGCTTAATGAATAAAACGCACTCCTAAATAAAATTTTATGAGTATTTAAGAAAGTTGTGGGCACTTATTTGTACCTAAATATAGTGTATACATATATACATATATCATGTATCATCTTAATAAAGTGGGATAACGGTGTCCAAGAAGATTGACTTTTCATATGTAATTTATTTGGTCAATTGAGCCAAAATTACAGGAAAGGACATTTAGAGCAGGGGATATTTAAAATTTTATTCATCTTGGTACTTTGAATTAAAAGGTGGTATAGAGTCAGGTTCAGCAGTGTGGGCTTTGGAGTCACACATGAACTCAGACCCGCTCGCCACTTCTTTGCTGTGGACTGGGCCTCCCTGATCCCCAGTTTCCTTCTCAGTAACACGAGTCTAGTAATTATTTCTGCCCAACGGGGTTGCAATGAAGAGAAACACACTGCTTATTTTTAGCACAATGCCAGGCACACAGTGAGCACCCGAATAAATGGCAGCTGGTACTGTGCTTATTATGAACTGATGGAGTCACAGGTATCATGTCCATGACAAACAGCGGGTATATATAAATGCCCATCTGGGAAAACCACCCAAACAATTTGACACCACTGTGGTATTTTTTAAAAAAATTGCTTTGGTTATATGTTCGAAGAGAGTCTCAGCAGGGTGAGAACAGCTCTAACTAAATGAAGCAATATGTGGTTATTTTAATATCTAGGGGGAGTCCCATTTTCAAACCCAACTCTTCAGTTTCTGTAATTATTATTAAATAATAATAATGACAATGATCCTAATAATGGCACTAACATTATATAGCACTCACTATGTGCTGGGAACTGTGGTAAATACATGTATTAATCCATTAAAATATCACAACAATCCATTGAGAGAGATACTGTCATTATTCCTATTTCCAAGAAAAAGAAATGAATATGCAGAGAGATTAAACGGCTTGCCTAATATCTCACAGCTGGGAGATGGTCGAGCAGTGATTTGAACTGAAACATGGGGAGGATAAATTCTCTTGAAAAGGTAAGCGAGGGAAGGCATTGCAGGAATCATCTGATCTCATCCTCTAATTTTACAGATGGAGAAATTGAGGCCAGTACTTAGAACAGTGCTTATCATTTGTAGTAAATGGTCAATAAATAATATTGGAGTGATGAATGGCATCAACGAATGGGAAAATGACTTACAAGTTATTGGCATAGCCAGAAACTAAAAGTCTGGGTCTTTTACTTTGTGTTTTTATTATTATCATTTTTTATTTTACTTTAAGTTCCAGGATACAAGTGCAGAACCTGTAGGTTTGTTACACAGGTATACATGTGCCATGGCGGTTTGCTGCACCCATCAACCTGTCATCTAGGTTTTAAGTCCCGCATGCATTAGGTATTTGTCCTCATGCTCTCCCTCCCCTCACTTTTATTTTTTCACTCTCCACGAAATACTTGTTGCCAATAATGAGCTTTATAGTCCTTGTAAAATTATTTATATTTATCATTTCATATCTGACTGTATGTTTGCTGATATCTTTATTGCAGAATGTTCATCTCTAGAGAACAAGTATCTCAAAATGATCCTTGGGTGAGTGATCTCATTTCTTTTCTCCTTTAGTCTTTTTTTTCCTTTCTTTCAGTTTTTGGTTCTATTTGGTGGGTGTTCACCCTTCAGCAGGTGTTCTCACTTTCCTGAACTAATCCATACAGTTGTGAGTAGACTTCAGTGGTCAAGAAATGCTTCTTGATTAACAAATCTTTATGGAAGGCACTCGGGTCAAATGAATAAAGAAAATAACAGACTCTGAATTAGATGGGAAACTCCAGGTTGCCAGTAATAGAAACCTCACAATATGAACAATATGTGATATGAACAATAACCAGCAATTGGAATACAATCAGCCCTCTCTATCTGAAGGTCCCGCATTCCTGGATTCAACCAACTATGGATTGAAAACATTTGAAAAAAAGAACAATACAGTAATAAAAATAATGCAAGTCAACAGTATAATATAACAACTATTTACATAGCATTTACATTGTATTAGGTACTATAAACCATCTACAGATGGTTTAAACTAGAATATGGGAAGATGTGCATAGGACTTATGGAAACACCATATGCCATTTTATATCAGGGACTTGAGTGTATGGATTTTGCTATCCAAGGAGGGGAGAGGAGTTTCCTGAAAATGATTCCCAATAGATACCAAGGGACAACTATATATTCCTCATGTAACCAAAGCTCCGGGAGCCTCCGGCAAGCCTGCTCCAGAGCCCCAGTCTCTTTCTCCGCATTTATCAGCTCTGTCTCCTTTACATCTCTCCTGACTTAGGTAGGCCTTCCCTCACAGTGATGTCAGATGTGTCCATGGGGTCTGGAGCTTCAGGCTTTCTTATTTCCATCTAGCAAGGGTGAAAAGTCTACTTCAGAATAAATTATCCAAATAAACAAAAATCCCAGGTTTGAATTTTGTTGCCTGTTTTTTTTTGTTTGTTTGTTTTGTTTTTGTTTTTTTTGTTTTTTGTTTTTTTGTTTGTTTGTTTTTAATACAGGATCTCACTCTGTCACCAGGCTGAGTGCAGTGGCATGATCTCAGCTCACTGCAACCTCCAACTCCCTGGTTCAAGCGATTGTCCTGCCTCAGCCTCCCGAGTAGCTGGGATTACAGGTGCCCGCCAACATACCCAGCTAATTTTTGTATTTTTTTTTTTTTTTTAGTAGAGATAGGGTTTCACCATGTTGGCAAGGATGGTCTCGATCTCCTGACCTTGTTGATCCGCCCATCTCGGCCTCCCAAAGTGCTGTGATTACAGGTGTGAGCCACCGTGCCCTGCGAAGTTTTGTTGACTTTTACTAGCCTGACTTGATTCATGGATCTCTCTCTGAACCTGTTCTTATAGAGAGATAAAAATGCGCTATTGGCTTAAAATTTAAGTCAGCCATCAGCAAACTTGTATGTAAAGGACAAGACAATAAATATTTTAGGCTTTATGGGCCATAGGGTCTCCATCATCACTACTCAACATGGCCATTGTAGGTTGAAAGCAGCCAAAGGCAATACAGCGATGAATGAGTGTGTCCAGATTTGGCCTGTAGGCCACAGTTTCCCAATTCTGGATTAAACAGTCAGGCCCTAACACTGGTCCAGGGGCCACACTTTGAGAATCTTGTATTCAAATTTTTTTTTTTTTTTTTTTTTTGAGACAAAGTCTCACTCTGTCACCAGGCTGGAGTACAGTGGCAAGATCTCAGCTCACTGCTATCTTTGCCTCCCAGGTTCAAGTGATTCTCCTGCTTCAGCCTCCCAAGTAGCTGGGACTATGGGTGTGTGCCACCATGCCCAGCTAATTTTTGTATTTTTAGTGGAGATGGGGTTTCATCATGCTGGCCAGGATGGTCTTGATCTCCTGACCTTGTGATCCACCTGCCTCAGCCTCCCAAAGTGCTGGGATTACAGGCGTGAGCCACCATGCCCAGCTGAACCTTGTATTCCTTAAGTACCTCTCTGCCAGTGGCTTATCTAGTGTAACTCTAATAAATCTTGAGCCTCGGATGGACTAGTACCTTCACAGAAGTTCATTCAAAGAAACCCAAGCTAGCCATGAAGTAGTGATTTTTAAAATTCCAGTGTTGGCCGGGTATAGTGGCTCACGCCAGTAATCCCAACACTCTGGGAGGCTGAGGTGGGCGGATCACCTGAGGTGGGCAGATCACCTGAGGTTAGGAGTTCAAGAGCAGTCTGGTCAACATGGTGCAACCCTCTCTCTACTAAAAATACAAAAATTAGCTGGACATGGTGACACATGCCTGTAATCCCACCTGCTTGGGAGGCTGAGGTAAGAGAATCACTTGAACCCGGGAGGCTGAGGCTGCAGTGAGCTGAAATCACACCACTACACTCCAGCCTGGGTGACAGAGTGAGACTATACCTGAAAAAAAAAAAAAAAAAAATCCAGTCTTTTTGCAGGTCTCTCAAAACACATGAAGCAATATTAAAGATACAAACCAGGACAACAGTTCCCAAAACCTGTCTCTCTTCTTTCCAATTCTTTCTTACCTCAAAGTTTCCCATTTAACAAATTCCCTGACTCTAGTCATCACTGGCTGTACATCTTTCCTCCATTCCTCTTCGGACGCCTTTCCTTCCCAGGCCTTCAATATGTAATCAACATAACTTTTCTCTCTCTCTCTTTCTCTCAGTCCTCCTCTACTTCCTCTAGACCTACAGCTTCCTTTGTCTACTCTTTTCTCAATTCTGAATCACAAAATATTTTAAACCTGGCTGTCAAAGATTGCCTAGTATTGAATAGTGGGAGAAAGGAGTAGAAAACACAACACTGATATGTCAATGTAGCTTGTTTTTGTCAGACTTGCAAAAATGGAACCCATCATGTATTACAAATAGATTTCAAGATAGTGGTGATTTCTTTGGAAGAATGGGGTGGAAAAGAAATGGGAGGTGGAATTGCATTTGAACCTGGAAAATTCCATGTGTTTTCCAAAAACTAAAATAATACCTGAAGGAAATACGACAAAGTGATAGCATTCATACTATTTGGAAAATGGGTATACATTGGTGTCTTATTTTCTGTACATTTGAAATATTTCACATTTTGAGATTTAAATAATTAAATCAGAATATGGAAGAAAATAATGTCTGTGAAAGTGCTCCGTTAAGTTAAAATCTACCAAAACAAATATCCACTAGATCTCAAACATTACCAGCAACCGTATTATGTGGAAGCTTTACTAAAACACAGATTGCTGCGTGCCACCCCAGAATTTCTCATTCAGTTGATCTGGAATGGGACGTAGTGATATGCATTCCTAACAAGTTCCCAGGTCATGGAGATGCTGCTGGTTCAGGGACCACTCTTTGAAAAATCACTGCGGTAGACAGCAAGCTCCATGTGGTCAAAGACCATACATGTTTACGGACTCCCAGCATCTCCCTTGATTCCTGGCACTGTAAACACTCAGTAAACATTTCTGTGTGGATCACAGCCATGGGTTATCATATATGGGGAAAAGTGGATACTGCATGCAGTTTAAGGTGTTCTTTCAATGCTTCGGGGAGTAGAAAGGGTCCTCTTTCTTATTATTACAACAGGACTAGTGGGTTTGATTGAGAAAAATGGGAGTTCTCAGGAAGTAAGATTAGGGGAAAGTCAAGGATCAGAGGTGGCTTCCTTTTTAGGAGTGCAAAGAGACAAAAAGGGACTGAAAAGAGAGCTAATGAGTCTGTTCTAACTTTCACTTGGCATCCAGAGAGAACCCCTGCAATCCCAGTCAGCAGCTAACTGCTGGCTGCAATATTTATCAGCCTTGCTCTTCTGACTAGGCACGCCCTGCATCTCCGTGCTGCGGCCACCTGGGCTTGCTTTCAATCCTTCCAGGGTGACAGGCACCCTATCCTCACAGGTCCTCTACACTTGCTGTTTTTTTTTGTTGTTGTTGTTGTTTGCTTGTTTGTTGTTTATTTTGTTTTTGCCTTGTTTGCTCCCATTTATCCTTCACACCACCACTCAAAAGTTACTTCCTCCAGAAAGCCTCCTTTTGTCCCCCTGAACTAAGTCAGAGACTTACATACATGTGTTTTACATTCATGTAAACCATGCTCATTTTTTCACAGTCCTTCATAGTTTGCAATCATACTTTCTTTTTTGGTAACTATTGTTCACCTCCCAGTTTGACTGGGAGCCCAAGAGAGCCAGGAGCCCATCTGCTTTGCTTGTGTGCCCCACTCATAACCTAGTAACTGGCCTGTAGCTTGCATTTAATACATATTTGTTGAATGAATTAGTAAGATATGAATATGGGCTCCCGCTATGGTCTGGATGTTTCCCTAAAATTCATATGTTGAAACCTAATCTCCAATGTGTTGGTATTAAGTGGAACCTTTTGGGATTTCATTAAGTCATGAGAGTGAAACCCTTACAAATGGGATTAGTGCCCTTATAACAGAGACCTAGCTAGCCCTTTCACCATGGAGGATGTGGCAAGAAGGTGCCCTAGGTGAACCAGAAGTTGGGGCCCTTACCAGATACCCAATACACCAGTACCTTGATTTTGGACTTCTCAGCCTCCAGAACTGTGAGCAGTAAGTTTCTATTGTGTATCAGCCACCCACTAAGACAGGTCCCGTCCTCATCCGTCCTGCTTTGTCGTTACATGATTGAAGTCACCAAGTGTAGGCCCACATGTATGTCTCAATCCCTTAGTCCAGGTTCAATTCCAAAGTATGCTTTTATCATTTGAAGACCCCTCTCTCTCCTATTTTAGGTTTCTCTGATGCCTTACCTTTTCTGGCCCCAACTTCAGAGGCTGAGAATGAAAGATTAGACAAAAGTCAGCTTCCCACAGGGAAGGAGAGAAGTGAGCAGTGATGATAACACCAGCAACCTGGAAACAGGAAACTGGCACAAGGCTGTACTCGAATCTCCAGTACAAAGGGAGGAAGGCAGACCTGAGAGTATCAGTAAGTCACAGAGGGAAAACCTACAAGTGAAAGAAACTTCTAAAAGTGTTATTAAAATGTTGCTTTGTGCCAGACATGGTGGCTCACCCCAGCACTTTGGGAGGCC